TTCCTTTCGCAGTAGCTGACCAGTGATATCCTAGATGAGTTCAATACGTGGCAGATGTGGAGATAATAACAGGCCACAGTAGCAAGGCAAGTCGGGGGCATTAATGATTTAAGTTTTGCTAACATTTAACTTATGTAAATTTCTTTCCTAACTGTCTTCGCTTGTCACGTTACTCGCTTAGACCAGAGGTTTATGCAAATTTTATGTCAAAACCCGCGAGCGTCCGTTCTGGGTCCAGTGGACCCGCGCGATTAAACAAACCTTTCTTAAAGCACGCCTATCTTACCTAAGTTGTTCGAGTCCAGTATAGTCATATTTGAGGTCGACCTTTTTTATGTTTCCGAAGTTGTTTCGCCGGGGCTTTAATTCGGAGCCTGGATTTTGACAGGATCGGGTCTTTTAGACTTATTGCGCCTATTCGTATTACTATTGCCCACCAGCGGCCGAGCGGTAAAGTCGCTGAACACTGGTAGTTCGGTCCGAGGTTCGAATCCCGCGAACGGGCTGGCTGCATGAGTGTTTTCGTGGTTTTCCCCATGTGTAACGTGTATACGAGCCAGTTTCCCATAGAAAGTCCTCCACGAAGGCATCCCTCCTCTTAGGCAGATAGCCCTCGAGGCTTTGCCATAATCACACACACACACACACCTTTCGTATTACTATTACATAATTGATTTGCGATAGTATAGAAAGTGGTAAACATGTCGCATAACTTATCTTATAAGAAATATTGCAAAAGTTATTAGATGTATCAACTGGCGAAGAATGTATTGAAAAAAATGAGGATGGAAGTAATAATGAGTTATTAATTCACATGAGACTGATTCAGAAACTGATGCAGATTCTGAAAACGAGATTGAGAATTACTTAAATTGCTTTATTGGGTGGGGGAAATCGGAACGGAAAAAAAGAAATAAAAATACAGTGTTTGCCCAGCGAAAAAGCGCAGGAAAACTAAAAATAAATGAAAAATATTTGTATTTGTATTTTTCACTTTGTTCAATCGCGCTTTGAACATTTCTTGTTGCATTTTTTTTTCTCTGTGTCTATAGTACTGATAAAGAAAATAAAGAATCGATACGGGGTGAAGTTATACTATTTTCTTCCTATGCTAATGTATAATACGATTTTCTAGTGCGTGTTTTTTTAAGTTTGATTATAAAATGTGGTATTGGCATAGATGTAACACTTTTTCTGAAAATAATAATTGTTTCTTCATAAAACACGAACCGCGCTCGTGTAACTCAAGTGAGCGCGCGTGCTTCCGGGTTAAAAATAGGATATAATCTTAACAGGGAGGTTAGTGAAAGTCTCGTTGTTGTATTACCGCTTGCTGTAAACGTTTAAGAAGCCCAATCAAGTGGTAAACGCCACTGAAGACTGGTAGTTTGGTCTGAGGCGCGATTTCTGGTGAACGGGCTGGTTTCATGGGCGTTTTCGTGGTTTTCTCCCTGTGTAATGTGGATGCAAATCAGTTTCCATTAAAAAAGGTCCTCCAGTAACACGAGTAACAAGTGACCTTCTTTTGTCATACTCGAAAATGATTCCTGGGACAGTATGTAGGAATGGCCTTATCACTAACTTTACAGTTAAGTCAGCGTTATGTTGAACTCTTATTGTAAGAAGTCTTATTGTAAGAAGGAAAGAAGACTGTAGAGGGGTCCACCTGCTGTACATTATGCCACTCCATACAATTATTTCAATAATAGGGCTAGTATGACACTGTGACGGGACTTGAGAATTCTCTGTTCAGAGCGCTGGCGACGCAGTCTCCAAATTAATTTCTAACCATCACCGCTCTTGAAATAAAATTGAAGAGGAAAGTCCTCTGTTCTGGCCTGTAGTTTTGTATAGATATACATTATGGCAGACTTTGAGAGCAGTGACTGTCAACAGAACACTTGTCGCGGGTCATGTGGCTGGTAGTTCATTATAATGTAAGAGCCTTCTGATTGTTCATACAGTCAGTCTTGGATCTGAGCTTGGAATGAAACGTTAAAGTTCACTTGAATGTAGAGTATGTATCACTACATGCCAAGTTTTCTAAGCCAGCGTTCCGTCAGAGACGTTTACTTCTACCACTGCTTGCTGTAATAAGAGTTCATTTTTGTTCTCACTAACTCTAGGATTCAAAACATTGAACAATGTTGACTTTTTAATTTAACTCGCAGCAATCTACGGAAGTGGCAAGCCAATACTTTTGGGTTCAAGGATCCTGACCTCATTTTCACGATAGATGATTTTAAGCATGTTGATGAACTCGAGCCACTACACTATCAAACAATAGGACTTAATGTGATTTTTGGAATCTCACATAGGAGGAATAAAATTGCATTTGATCAGACTTTTAAACTTTCCCACAGTTAGAACTCTCGATTAATTGGAACTATGTGCTTAAACATCCGATCATTTATGTGTCTTAGCTGCACTAAAATCTTCTAATGTTGGACAGCGTATTTGTACAGTAATCCCACATTTTACCTGGTCAATTAGTTTATCTATTTCCCACATTATTAAAAAAAGTTGTACATTCAAGTTTCTTTTATGAAACTGTTGATTTACTTTACATATAATCTGTAAAATTTCATGAAGTGGAAATAATGTTACAGCAACACTGGTGCTTATTTAATGACCATGTGGTCTACCGATGAATAGGTAGAAACCGAAGAGTCACTGTAGAAAAAGACATCGTTAAATATAGTCAATTTCTGCATGAAAGGTCTTAGTTAAAAAAGGAGAATGAAAAGTGATTTATATTTGCCACGTTATATTTGTTACGTGAGTTACGGAAAGAAATGAGTGTTGAAACTGCGGTGATCCGACGAAGATGAGAGTCTTCATTTGCGTTTGCTACACAAGTTGCAATCTGAAGGCTGATTGCAAACAGTCAAACTACAAACAACATGTTCTGACATTGCAGAAGTAATAATTTTCTTAGTAATGTCTCCACTTGACTTTACTTGGGAACTCATCTGATATTGTCTTTGACCATAACGAAGCAGAGGACGTAAAAAAAAAATATAACAGATAAAGTAAAGAGGCATCATTAATTCACTCTACACGATGTAGTAGATAGAGAAATTACACAGGAAGCTCTGAAACTCTCAGCAGGTATTCTAAACTGATTTCTCAAGGACTAAATTTCCATCAGTTTTATTAAACCTTTTAAGTTAATAAAAGCCTAAATATGCTTCCCTTCACTGTTTATCTTTTCATTCATTTTGTCTTTCCACTGCGTGAATCGATCAGCTTAGCGGTTTTCCAAATCTTCAAACCCAGATTTTTTAAATCTTAAAAGCCAGGAAACAGTGCTGTATAACAAAATATTATTTTTTACAATGTTTTAATTACCTCTTTATAGAATATTAAATGCTATTTGTTTATTATTGCGTATTTCTCAATGATTAGATTCTTATATATTTTGGTCAGAAAAATTGAGAGCTCAAGTTTAGACCTTCCTTGTTAGTTGATATTACTGATCCAAATTATATAAGATATTGTATGAAATAAATTAATAATTCAGCTTTTCATTTCATTTAAAGTTATTTAGGCGAAAAGTGTATTTCATCATTTTGTATTCTTTGTTTTGATAATTTCAATTTATGATATATTATGTAAACTATAAGCTGATATATTTTAGCTAGGGCTCTATTTATTAATAAATTGAAAAGACCAAATAAATGCAATTAGTTTGTGTATCTATTTAATAATTAAGTATGCGACTAAAATATAAAATTAAGTTATTCAATATTTTTTGTTCGCACTGTAAAAATAATTTCTTCTGGTCACTTTTTACCTCCAGAGAAACTTACTATCGTTGCATTAAAGTTGTAAAAATTTGTAAATGATGGATGTGTATCTGATTTTTGAAGAAAGCTAAGAAAAATTAAAATATGAAGCTTAAAATTTTGTTCTTTCTGATTTTATGTTTTTAAAACTTAAAAAAATATATATATATATATATATAACATTGTATCAAAAGTATAAATTGAATTTAAATATAAATTTAATTAATTCTTTGCGCCATTGCTGCAAGGAATAAAATTTAAATTTTAACAAACGTGTATATACTTAAAAAGCAAATTTAAAGTTAAAATAATTAAAAAAAGTGCAAGCATATAAAAGATTTAATTTTCGAACTAATCTACAATATTTAAATTCAGATAGCGTAAGTAAATCAAGTGCAAAACCAAACCATGAAAATAAATTCACCAATTTAGCAAATTAAAATTAATCTTTTTTTTTTTTTTTTTTTTTTTTAAATGCATAAGTTGTTGAGCAGGCAGGAGACAGACTTATCAAGGGGAAGTTGCCTCCAAACCTAACTCCACAATCAAATTTGCTTTTTACGTATATACATGTTTGTTAAAATATATAAAATTGTACCTATTTTAAATACATACTCATTCTGTCTAATCCAAAATAATGAGTCAATAAACTACACCAGGCCTTGAGATCTAAGCATTGTGTCATTATTAACAGCCACAAATTATTTTTAATATTTTTCAAAGATTAAAATATTTTCTTAATTTCGATGTATGTATTTCGTTTTCTTGTGTATGGTGCTCGTTTTTTTGCTTAATATAAATTTGCTGTATTATAATTAATGTAAAATACTACCTATATGTTAATGTCCTTCTATATGTAACCTCGATTTTCAGGCAAGATTTTCTTTCTACATCCACCAATTATGTACATTACTGTTGTCATCAGTTTGTTAACCTTTAACTATTGTTTTCATAAGAGGCTCAATGTTTTGTGAATTACATGCTGTACTATTTTATAACTAAATATATTCTTATTATTTTAGTGTTATACAATTTTGATTTCCTACAATGATATATTTCCTTGTAAATGTTCATGAAATAATTAGCATTCATAATAATCTAAACACATATGTATTTCATAAAATGTGAGCTTTATTTATGAATTTTTGTTTCAATTATTCTGACTGCTATATATATATATATATATATTTTTTTTTTTTTTTTAATTTTAAGCAACAAGTTGAAGCACAGAAGAAGTTTAGTATTCTTTGGCATCTTACTCGTGACCTAAATTTGAAATCAACACCTTCTACAATGACTAGGGTTTTTGATTGGTAAGTGTTATATTTAAATATAGTGGAGGAAAATTTTGTTCACAATACTTTTTATCAAAAGGATCTAAATCAAGGAGATTCATAAAATAGAATTAATTGCATTTCAAAAAGTACAGAATTATGTTTTGTGACATTTCAGTTAAATTCTAAAAAATGAATATGGCAGAATTACTTTTGAAGCTCAGATATATTTTAATGCGAGTGTATTAACCCCCCCCCCGGAGTAAATATTTTGACGATATTCGTTTGCTGTATTTAATTGTATAATAGTATTAAATTTGAAGTAATATGGAATAGTGTATTATTACCATTATAAAACAAAATTTTACTAATGCATGCCTAGTTGTGTACAAGTTTTTCAAAATCATTTGCGAGATATTCTCGTGGTTTTTATGTGATACTTTTATATCCATGGGCAGCGAATATAAATATTTAGCCTAACACCACAGTGAAAGATCTAAAACAGATTATCATTTAGGAGACTATTTTAAATTATGAATTCTTTTCTTACAGGTGTTTATTTTTGATGCTGGATAACCTTGGCAAAGAAACTGGCCCCCAGAAAGCTCTATCTCAGGCTTGGCTCAATCACTCCTTACAACGTGGTGATGTTGCTAGGTTTTTAGAACCAATATTGCTAATCCTACTTCATCCTGATTCTGCAAGAGTTTCTGTTCAGCATGTTAGTGTTCATTGCCCCAGGAAAGTCATCTTATCTGATGATAGAGATAATCAACATCATGAAGATGTGGAAGCTAAAGTATATGCCATTAGTAGTATTTCCGGGCATGTTATTTATCATATAAGTGATGATAGTCATCCATCATCTCAGCAGCCTAGTCCTGAAAGAAAAATCTTAGCTCTGACTTCTGTGATAAATGATGATTCTAATAAAGGATCCACAGTTGTGACTCATAACTCAATGTTGCAAGATTTTGAATTGCCTTCTATTCATGAGCGAGATTTAAAATTACCTATATCTGTCTTTGTCAATCCATTTGGCTCATTATCATCCCTTGGAAGCGATTCTCACTTAGATTATACGGCATTTACACCTGATTTATCTCAAGCTAAACGCATAGGAAATGTGAGGAAAAGTTCATTTGATGAAGATACAGGTGAAGAAATTAGTAGTTCTGAAATGAGCATTGAAAGCATAGTAACAACTGTTTTAGACGACATTATTTCACAGATAACAAATAATGAAGCTAATGAGAAAGAATTTCTTTCTTCTGGTGATTACAGCTTTAATGATGAATGCAGTGATTTTATTTCAAATATTAATGATTTGAATAAGTCACACAAAAAAGTCACTGAACAGCCACAGATGACCGGTCATCCTTTGCACACATATATTCTTTTATACTGTCAGGTATACGATTCTCAGAAAACTTTGTATGCACTCTATTCCTTGAAAGCAATAATTTTAACTAATCCTAGAATTGCATTATGTAGTATGGCTACTACAAATGTAAGTAACTCCTTGAGTTTAAGAGGTCAACAACTTCAGGTATTACTAGCACGTCATCGAAAATCAGTTTTTGGCAATAATTTTCATGGAGAATTGACAGCTGAAGCTACTACTATGTTTAGAAGTAACACTTATGTTGAAGTAATTGTTGCTGCATGTTTGTATCACATTAGGAGTCATTATCCAAATTTGCCTCAAGTTCGATTGACTGAAGAAGAAGTGCTAGGAAACAGAAATGTTCGTCTTTTATGCATGGAAGTTTTGACTCTTGTATTTTCAGAATTAGTAGGGATTGTTAAAGATAGTGGTAAATTTTTTGCCTCCTATTTGAGTGATTTATTAAGCAGAAGTAAAGTGCAAAAAATTCTATTGCATTGCCTTGCAGCAAGTGTGTATGATTCTCAACCAAGAGATTCAACAGAAGAGGAGCAAAATATTACATTTACAGAAACTATAGTTGAGTTCAATGAGAGACCTATGCGACTTGGAAAGTCCAACAGTTATCAGGCTAATGATTTCCAAGACACATATCAGGTTCACAGTCTTCTTAATGATTATTATTTTTAAAAAAAGACTAAAGTTATATTTGATATATTTTGTTTCAAACATTTCTTTTTTTAAAATGTGTGCATTATTTGGTTTCACCAATACTGTTTTGAATTTTAGAAACCTATGCTTTTCTTAATTATATTTTGTTATTTAATTATTATTATTTCAATTTTGTAGTTGTAGATTTTGCAATTGCTTGATGGCAGAGTAATTAATTTTAAACATAATTGATTTTTTAATAATATTAGAATATATTAATAATTTATAGATTGATAATTGAATGAAAGTATTATCTGTAAGAATTAAATTAGAAAAGTTAAATATCTTTTTCTGTTAATTGATTTTTAAACTTTAATGCAATCAGATAGTCAGCACTCATTTATCCCAGCATTCATTGATGATTATTAGTTTAAAATGTTTCTTGTTAACTTCCTTATAGGTTCATTTATTGAGATTGATGGCAACATTGATAGTTCTTGAAGATACTGTTTTATCCCAAAATGGGTCTGAAAAAGACATAAATGCCGTAGGATCAAAAACTGTTGATTCTGTTTTAGAGAAAAAAGTTAATCCAAGAGCTCAAGCTTCTTCATCAAAATATAAGCCTGGTATGTTATAAATACAATGCATCCTTTGATTGTTTGTGATGATATTAGTAATTAGAAATTATTCATTTTTGTAAATAAGTATTTTAATGGTGTAAAAAGGAAACATTTTTGGATGCTTTGTTCTGACAGTTTTTTTAAATGTGTTAATCTTTATTTTAGAGGCATTAGTGTACATTCAGTGTCTCATAAAACCATGAAGTATGACTATTGTTAAATGTTTATGTGTTAAATGTGTTTATTCAGTCTGAAAGGAATAATAATGGAGTATATAATCATAACACATAAAAATGTAAATTCATCTTTTAATAATTTAAGTAAGATACTTAAATGCATTTATCAAAATGTATTTTAATACAGTTTGTTTAAAAAAGGCCAATGGGCCAGTGTATGATTATATTTTTGTAAACACCAGCCATGGTGACAAAAATACTATGGTCTCATTAAAACTCTGTTCAAGTGTAACATTTTTATCGTATCTATATAATATTTTGAATTATTTAGTGCAGTAGACTTTTACTATGGCAAACACAGTGTATAACAAACCTCTGAATGTAACGAATAAACTCTGTGGTCCCTTCCAGTGTCTTACACACCTAATGTTATTTTATACAGCTATAATGAACCTCTAAATGTATGAAAATCAGTTATAATGAGCTTCATGTGTTCAGCTAAAACATGTTGGTATTTTTGTATCTAATTTACATTTTTTGCCATTTTTTTCCAGAATTTCTGTGAGTGTTAATAGAAAAATTACTACCTCTTAAAATCATAATTGTTTTAACTAGTAAGCGAGGGAGAAACATTGTTACTGCTCTGCTTATTCATCCCTACCATTCTGCACATAATAAACAAATACTGTGCAAGGCAGGTGTAACACCCAATTCTTGTAAAATGAAAACATGCAGTAAGCCTACCTTAGGACATTATATTGTGTGCATTGAGCCAAAGAACTAGAATGGGTTTACTGATCAATCTAGTCTTTATATATATATCTGAAAGACAAGAGTTCACTTAGGCTGATGCTGTGATGAAAATTTTTATTTATTTCTATTTTGGGGGAAGAGGAAGTAGTAAACTTATCAGCATAATAAGTGTATCTTCTTTCAGGAAATGGAAAACTTTTGTCCTTATTGGTTGGTTGGTTTTGCTTTAGTATTTAGAATGCTCTCCCAGGTCTGTCATCTGAATGGTCTTCTTTAGGTCTTTGTTTTATCTTCTTTAGGTCTTTGTCAAGTTTTGGAATATTTTGTGGAAAGTTTGTTGCACCTTTGCAGCCATTTGCAAATTGGAGAAAATTAATGCATTCTCACTGAAATTCTTAATTGCGTTATACCATGGCGATTTTTAAATTTGGTTAACCAACCTGTCGAATATGTGCATTCTGTTTTTAAGTTCATTTCTTAGTGAAATATCTTAGCTAGAGACATTAACATTTGACCCGTCAATGGCACGCCTTCGCTGCGATGCTGTCTGACCCATTCAGTCATCACTTTGTCTTGATCTTCACTTTTAGCATAACAAATAAGTTTTCTGTTATTCATTATGAGCGGAGTGTTGGAATCCACAAAAAATTTCAAAAATTTCCTTTTTGTGTTTTCTTATGTCATATACAGTTGACTTTTCAGTGCCCTACTCCTCGCATAATTTTGAGACAGATATATCTTTATCCATTTTTTGCAGCAGTTCCACTTTTTGTTTAATGGACATCGAAACATGCTTTCTCTTTGTAGATCCTCTTGCAGCTCCAGACATAACCCTTTTCGACATATTCAAAAGATGAAACTTTAATTTTCATAAATCTACTGTAATAATAAGCTGGATCAAATCAGAAAGCTAAGGAACAGTCCAATCTCCTATATTAACCGAAATCCCTTGGAATCAGTAAAATATAACTTTAGCTTACCTTAATTGCGTCCGCTATACATTATTGGCTATGTAGCATGAGACTGGCGATGAAAGACAAGTGGTTCCGCAAAATTTTGTCTTGCTTCTATCGTGCACTGAGACAATTAAGCCTGATTGTATTAATTTAGTTATTTATTATGCTAGTCCTGAATAAATAGTCCTGAAACCCACTAGTCCTTTGTCTGAGTCCTGAATAAATAAATTCCAACATATACGATTGGTTATCGATATGGTTTATCGATTACCGTCCCTAGATATCTTACCATCTAATGCAGTCTCTGCGGGACCTAAATTCTGCTACCAAGCGGCTTCCTAAGTTCTAAATTTTTGCTGCCCCTAAATTTTGGATCCCAGTGCTTTCCCTAAATTCTGCCGCCCAGTGCGGCCATACTGGCTCTGGCGTGGTTCTGGGTTTATGTAAAAAACAAAACTTTTATTCTTAATTCAAATAACACTAAATGTAATCTTATCTTTTGGCCTATGAATATCATTAACAAAATCTGTTTTTAGCATTTAACGTAAATCTGTAATCTTTGCCAAGTGTAATGTCAACATAAAAGGTTTACCATACTCTTTGTTTATTAAATTACTAATATAAAAAAATTGTTTGGGCATCGCATCGGGGATATAAAACATTCAGTTTGAGATGTATGCCAAGCAGATACTTAGCTACGGAGCCAAACTATTTATCACACAAATTTATGCTTAATTCCTGTTTCTTCAATAGTGAGGTATTTATTTAGTGCTGAAGGCAGATTAAGAATCTAGACTCTCCACGTGTTTTTTTTATGGGGGATAAAAGCAAATGCACAAGCATAAAGCATTTAAAAAAAAGTTGTTGGCAGTTTTGAGGTCTGGACGTTAGATCATTCCGGATATTGGATGTCCAGATATCGGACTTTGTACTGTATTTAATTGTTTTAAAACAATTTCAGTAAAGGGATTAATATGTCTTTCTTTTCACAACCCACTGTTGGCTCAAGGTTCAGTTTCTGCTGAACAGGCTGCTTGTATGGGTTTTCTGTGTTTTTTCTATGTATAATACGCATATAAGTCACTTTCCCTTAGAAAGTTTTCCACAAAGATAGGTTTTTTTTTTTTTTTTTTTTTTTTTGTTGGGCAAATAGCCCATGTGCTTTGTCTGAATGAGATTTTCTTTTTTGTATTCCTTAATGTCAATTTAATTCTTTATTGCTGGATTAGTATTAATTTGCATATAATTGTATTTGATATGAGGAAAGTATTAGCAAACTTTATAATTATAGATCTGATATTTAAAAAAAAAAGCTATCCTTTTTAAATGTTATTATTGGCTGAATAAAAAAAAGCATTAAAGTATCATTATCAAGAAGGAATTTTTAATAATAACTGCATTTCATGCTTATTGATTTTAAATGATATAAATGAACTTTATACTATGAATTAGCATAAGATAAATGATTTTGTTTAGGGAAAAGCTGTACTGAATATTACAGTCAAAAGTCGTCAATCCGGACTCGTCGTTACTTTGACGATTCCGGATTATTGATTTTTCCGGATTATAGATAATCAGTTTAAATCTGGTAAGATGGCATGCAGAAATTATAAAATTAAAAATATGAAACCGTAATTTATGAAATAAAGAGCAATTATGATCTAAAGGGTATCAAAATTTACAAAAACAAAAAAAGCTTAATATTTATTTTGTTTGCTTTATTAAACATTTCTTTCAATGTAAGTTGTTTAAGTTGCTTTGTTTTATGTGCTAATACTTTCTCTTTAATTTTATATAAACAGACATAATTTCTTGTTCAGTTACAAAGTTCCGCTGTTCAAGTCCTGTAATTGCTGTGCCGAGAATACCGACTAACTTGTCAATCGAAATTTTTTCGTTTTCACTAACCTCTCTGTCACTTTCTTCATGCCTTTATCCATTTTTTGCAGCAATTTCACTATTTGTTTGATGGACGTCGAAACATACTTTCGCTTTGTAGATCCTTTGGGAGCTCCAGCATTGGAAATTCTATTTGACGTAATCGAAAGTTCAAGCTTACTTTTATAAAATTGCTCTAACAGTCTGCAAAAAATAATAAGCAGGATCCAATTCGAAGATTAAGGAACAACACAATCTGCAATATTAACTGAAATAGATAATTAGATAATTTTAGCTTATACCGTCAGTTATACATTAAATGCGCTTGCACACACGCATATGCGCAGCCGTAAAGGTCTTACGCGCATGCGTCAACGCGACGCATGCACAGAAAGTTTGTAGCTTTGAGGTCCGGATTATGGGTGTCCGAATTAACGACTTTTGACTGTATATAAAAAGTTTGTATTTGAAGTTCGACTATTGTTCGTGTTAAATTTTGGGCTTGTTTTATACAGTCAAAAGTCGTTAATCTGTACTCTTCGGGACTTCGGCGATTCCCGATTATCGATTTTTCCGGATTATAGATAATCAGTTTAAATCTGGTAAGACGGCATGCAGAAATTCTAAAATTAAAAATATGAAACCGTAATTTATGAAATAAAGAACAATTATGATCTAAAGGGTATCAAAATTTACAAAAAAAAGAGCTTAATATTATTTGTTTACTTTATTAAACATTTCTTTCAATGTGAAGTTGTTTCAGCTTCGTATTTATTTGTGCTAATACTTTCTCTTTAATTCTCTCTTCTATAACAGACATAATTTCTTGTTCAGTTACAAAGTTCCGCTGTTCAAATCCTGTAATTGCTGTGTCGAAGAATACCGACTAACTTGTCAATCGAAATTTTTTCGTTTTCACTAACCTCTCTGTCACCTTCTTCATGTCTTTATCCATTTTTTGCAGCAATTCCACTTTTTGATGGACATTGAAACACACTTTCGTTTTGTAGATACTTTGGGAGCTCTAGCATCTGAAATTCTATTTGACATAATCGAAAGTTCAAGTTTACTTTTATAAAATTGCTCTTACAGTCTGCAAAAAATAATAAGCTGGATCCAATTCGAGGATTAAGGAACAACGCAATCATCAACATTAACTGAAATAGATAATTAGATAATTTTAGCTTATACCGTCCGTTATACATAAAACGCGCATGCAAAAATGTATTCTGCGCTTGCGCACACGCATATGCGCAGTCGTAAAAGTCTTACGCGCACGCGTAAACACCTATGCGCATGTGTCAACGTGCCGCATGAGCAGAAAGTTTTTAGCTTTGAGGTCCGGATTATGGGTGTCCGAATTAACGACTTTTGACTGTAATATTATTTAATTTCAAATTGTGTAACTTCCTGAAGTTTAAAATTAAAGATATTTTGCCATATGTACTGTATTTTAGGAGTTCCAGTTCCTTGCCAGTCCATGTTCCTTAGTGCTGTGCTCACAGCGTTACGCCAAGAACATCATGCTCATCTTCACATACACTGGTTATCACTCATTACATCAGCATTGCCATTTGTGGGTCGCTGGTTACCACGTTTAATTATGACAGTTGTGCATCAGCTGTGTGTCAATTTAGATTTGATTAGCTCAAAGTTTTGGGAATCGCAAGGAAAGTATGTTCAGATATTTTGATTTTTAAATGTACGTAACTGAATTTTAAATTGTTAAAAATTTTATGCTGCTTAAATTTTGTGTTGCTGAATTTTAAATTGTTAAAAATTTTATGCTGCTGAGCTTTCCATCACATAGCTCAATATCTGCATTTATGTGTCTCCTGGGAACTGCACCTTATAGTGATAATTTATGTATCTGACTCCGAGAAAACATACATTAGTAAACCCCCCCCCAAAAAAAACTTTATTTCCATTGTTGAGTAACTTCTTTTTCACACTGTGCTATGGCCTGTTTGGCGGTATCGATTAATACAAATAAAAGCCCTCGCACATTATGAAATATAATATAAGAATTATAAACATAGGAAGAAGCTGCAAGTACAAAAACTTGAATCATTTAAATCTTTAAGTGTGCACAATGTGTACTCCCACTGTGTCAAATCTATATTATTTGAACAAATATTCTGTTATATACTCCCCTCAGGTAAAGAAGTTCATTAGAAATAAAAGATTAAGTCATGAAATATATGATAAGTAAGATACATTTAAAAACCTTTTAAATTCCAAATATAGTAGTATGGTTTCCTTAGTATTTATGTCTTCAAAGTACAACTGTTTACTTTACCATTCTCTCCTGTGTATTTTGCACTTCTTTTTGAGTTTCTACATATGACAAAGTAACTTGTTGTGTATTAACACCTCCTCGTCAGTTTTATCATGTGTCACAATGATACCTTTATACAATGAGCACATTTTAACTGTAGTATTGTTTGTGTGACCTTCGCCAAAAAAAAAAGCCGCTGCTTTTGCAGTATAGGTAACTTTTGAGCATGATATTTTTGCTGAAAGTAACTTCCATAGCAAAGCTTGCATGCTGAAGCTGTTGGTAGCAGTTAATATCCTGCTTCATTTCTCTCATTTAGCATATAAAATTGTGTGCAAATAATTGGTTCCTATTAAATTATCTTCATCTGAATCCATTCCTGTATCTGCTGATTCAAAGCCTTTGGCAAGTACCACTTTCACCTACCTAGAAGGATGTACTATTTTCCCATTTGTAATTTTTTTTTTTTTGTAACAACTACTTCATCTCTATTCTTTAACACTGGGACAGTGCTTAAATTGCGCTGGAGCCTGGCTCCGGTACTTCTCAATTTTTAAGGTAAATTATAATTGTAGCCGGAGCGCAACGGAGCCCTAAATAAGATGAGCTCTGGTACTTCCTTTTATAAAACTGAGCCACAATTTTAAGGGAAAAAATTAGAATTCGTAACATTTTAGTTTAACAATAAGCAGACTTTGCAATACTCTATTTCCCTAGAAATACAAGACTCATGAACATGAGATGTTCAATTAAAGTACCCTCACTCACATGCAGAAACCTTTCCCTTTAAGAAGGGCAATAAATTTGGGAGAGTTTGTTTAGGAACGCGTAAATTTTTCGCCATGCCATCCTATCTGGTGTATTGTTATCGATGGTTATAGTTAGTTATCCTCGCAGGAAAGAAAATTTGTGTTCTTAACTATGCGTTAAGTGATAGTGAGTACAATAAGAGTGAAATACGGAAAAAAACTGCTCAAGCATGTCCTATACATCGTCTTCTCACAGTATCCACTAATGTAACCAAATATCGGGTGGGGGGCGAAAAGCGTAAATAGCAACTTTAGGAGTCGGATTATTATCCTTAGAGGATCATTAGGAGTCAGATTTAGGACACATTTTACCCCTGACACACAACCGCTGGTTGGCTATAATTATATCAGCAGAGAGCCGCGGTCAAAGAAAACATTCTCTCTCACCAAGATTCCCCTCATTTTTTTTTCCCACCCACTCATACATTCACGCCCTCATTCTGTTTCACTCTGTTTTTAGCATTATCTGGATTATCATCAGCTATACTTTAAGTATATTTAATTTTTGTGATGATAAAAACTCCCCCCCCTTTCAATTAGAGCTTAAATTGGGCTGTAGCTCACCGGATTCCGGCTCCTGTGCTTCTTGGTTTTTGTAATAAATCATAATTCTAGTCAGAGTGCACCGGAGCCGTAAATAAGAAGGTGCAGCACTTCTTTATGTAATTGAATAACAATGTTAGTAGAAATTTTATCTCGAAAATTTTATTTTTAGCAATAAAATTATATTAAAAATCGCTTATTACATTTTATTTTATCTCTTTACATTTAATTTTATTTTAATTATTTAATTACTTTAATATTGAAATATTTCAATAAATAATAATTAATTAATTATCTAATAATTATAAATTAAAGTTTAATTAATTATATAATAATTAATGCTTAATAACAATTAATAAGCATTAATTAAATATATATTAATTAATTTGATAATAATTGACTGTTTAATTTTAAAATTATTAATGAGTTTAATAGTCATTTTAATTATTTATTTACTCTTGTTCCTCTTTCCTGACGGTCTTCCATAGGGCTCCGGCACTTCTAATTTTAGAAATTAAGCCCTGCACTGGGATAAATCTGTTGGATCATGTAAAATGTTCTGTGGGGTTTTTGATGATAAATACACATAAAGCAATACAAAAAACAAACCTTTATTGAATCACATAAGCACCATTTGATTCTGTGACCTTTTGCCATGTCTCAGGCAGCTGGAAAATTCCCTTTTAATAAGTCATTATGTTATTGGTAAAGAAGTTACCAATGTGCTGTTTGACAGTTTTCAAAACTCATTCAGAAAACCATTCAGAAAATTTTGAAGTGACCTCAAGAGATGAAAATCTAGTGAATATGGAGGCTGACAGAAAACATTTCAGCCATGTGTATTAAGCTTTTAGTCTGACATTCAATGAAATATGGGGTCAACATGGTCCTGATAGAAGACTACCCCTGGAAAATAGGTAAGTTGTGGCTGCTTTGATTTTTGCTTTCAAAACTACCATTTGAGAACAATATTTTTCCAAATTTGTCTGATTTGATATCAACCATTCGTGGTATACTGTACTCCCACCATACACAAAACACAAAACATTACTTTTTGGGGATGCAGCCTCCCTCTTGATGTTATTAAAGGGTGTTCTTTTGCCTTACCCCATGGTCATTTTCTTTTAATGTTACTGTATTGTATACATGCCTCATCTTCAGTAATGAGCCGTTTAAAAAAAAAAATGCGTTATTTTTTTCTAGCAAAGAATCACATGCCAAAACTCAAACAAGCACATTCTATTGTGTTAACTTATTTGGTACCCATATACCATAGCAGTTTACATACTTAGTCTTTTTTAAATGATCTTGTACTATACATTTTGGAATATCAGCAGTAGTTTCTTTTAGTAGGTTCTCGTATGCAGAGGATGGTCGTCCAGTGTGGGCATCATCCTCGAGACTAACTTTTCTCACTTTTCAAACCACCTTTGAACTGTGTCTTCAGAAATACCACTTTTTTCATATATAGCAAAAACTTGAGCATTCTGAATAGCATTTTTCCCATTTTTTTTAAAATAAAAGAGCATAATAATGGTAAAAATGAACTTCTGGGTTCTCTATTCTTAGCACAATACTGAAAGAAAAGTTATGCCACAATACATACTAGACTTAGAGATTATGAGGAGAAAGACCATATTTAAATATCTGCTTCAATCAGGATCACTTTGTATCAGCAGTAATAAAAATAATTAGAAAAAAATGTGTTTTGATGTGAAAAACTGCAGAACTTTTGAGATGACCCATTTTCAAACAAACTATATCGTAAACCACAGAAGTTGAAGCTTCACATGCATGTTCAAATATTTGATAATTTCCTTCTGAACTACTAGCACCAAAGCATCTGCGATTCCATTTTTTGCAAAACACCTCTAAGATAAGAATTGTATAAAATTCTCAGTAGCTGATCTTTTCACTTCTAAAAGAGCACTACCAGTCTGAAGTAAAATGTTCTTTTTCTGTCAGTAATTAAAATTTGAAACTGAAGTCGGTATATTTTAAGTTCGGGGTACAGAGTCACTCTTCTTAAACTAACGTATCACAAATTAAATAATTATGTGGCTGATTGCATATTTTGCAGGAGTCCCTTTGCCATCACTGATGATGTGCCTATGTCTTAAAACACCAAAAATGCTCTTTGACTGGTTTTTTTTTTTTTTTTTTTTTTTTTTTTTTTTTTTTTTTAGTAATTTTTCTGTACCAGCATTTTCATTTTATTTTGACTTTAATGTATGCTTCTCACAATGGGTTTGTTAATGTGGCTGCATTTATAGGATTTCTTTTTGGATATAAATTCTTGCTTGGTGGTTTTCTGTGTACTCTGCTATTAGCATTTCAAAATTAAATACTAGATAACAAAATTAAATTCAGATGTTTTTCTAATGGAAGTTATGTGTTTGCTTGTGTTAAATTCAGAAGTGCATTCTTATTTCCAGTATTCCAAGTTTCGCTCCTTAGGCAGGTTTTATGAAATAGGAGATGTAATACATTCTCATAAGCACTTCTGACTTAAGAGATAGTAAAATTTGTAACTGCATTGCACACTTGTAATGTAGCTTTCTTAAAGGTTTAATTTCATGGCTGAATGGCTAGCAATTTTTTTTATTTGAGAAACGATTCTGCTATTTCGATCAAACTGCTCTTTAAAAGCAATGCTATGCAACCAGTTCTCATTACTCAGTGACAATTCTAAGACTGCAGTAAAAGTATTTCTTGCTAATTAAGAGTTTATGGTATTGAATATCTCAACCTTCATCAAGTTTTCATTATTACTGATTGCTATTTCAAATTGATTTCAAAAATCTAATGGCATATCTAATTTAGGCTATTTAAGACTATTTCTAGTGCTTCAGTCATTTTATCACATTAAATGACGAACAAATTAAATTTTAAAATGACAGTTTGTGAAATGCTAAGATTCTGTTCAGTATTAGAATACAGTTTTATGGTTATTTCTAATTTGCCTAGCCATTTTGTGGCTTTGTCTGGATTTGATAATAAATAATTTCTCTGCTAAGTCATTGAAATCTATCTGATTCTCAGTGTCACTGTTTCAAATGTTTTATAACTTTATCTTTTATTTTAACTCATTAGTAAGATCATAGATCATATGATACCTCAACATTTACTCTTTGAGTGAATGTATCAGTTAAAGCCTAGAATTGCATATTTCTTTTTTCCTCTTTCAATAATGAGGGTTTTTCCCACCTGACTTAGCCATTTTCAGCAGCAATTAAATAGTCTAGCCAAATATAATTAATTTTTTTCCTGAGACTGAAACTAATCAATTCGAATGTCCCTACTTGTAAATAAAACATAAGGTTATCTGCTCACTCTCTTTTTAAATTTTGTCGCTTCTCAAAGTAAACATAGCACTTTTCTGGTCACCAGTGCTACAGTTATAATTCATGTATCTGACTCCAAGAAACTATGCCTTGGTAAAGCTAAGAAAAGCTATTTCCATTGTTGAATAACTTACTTCTCACACAGTGACACTGCCTACTTGACCATATAGTTTAATGCAATCTTTCACATTACAAAGCAGAAATATAAAATAGCTGTAAGTATAAGAGCATGAATCATTTAAAAATTTTAAGGTGCATACAGTGCATGCACCCCCTGCATTGAACTGGCAATTCTGTTTTAATAGATATTCCATTACATACCTTACAACAAGATGATTTAATGTCACACTTCCTGAAACTGATTCGAAAACACACTTTGTTAAAGATATAGTAGGTTTTTTTGTTTGTTTGTTAATTATGTGAGAGATTTGTCAACAGGTGCAGCAGTTTCTCTTGTTGTTTACTAAGCAAGAGATGAAAATGATTTAATAACAATCAATTCTTAACTTTTCCTCTGATTAGCTTTATAATTCTGCATATGCATAAGATATTAAATCAAACTTTTTATTGTAATGCATTTGTCAGCTGCTAATTTTCCTTAAAAATTATATTTTAAAATTATTTTTATGTTATATTTAAAATTTACTTTGAAACTTCTAAAAACCATACTTCCACCTATGGTCTTATTATTATTTTGTCAATAGAAGTATGCTTTATTCCCCTTAAGTATATTCCAAAAGTTGTCTCTTTCCTTTTTATTTATTTTTTTTTAATTCGTCCTCTTTCTGACCCAGCCCCAAAATATTTTGCAAAGAATAAAATAATATTTTACAAAGAATAAGTTGATCAGTGCTAAAATGTTTGTCTTGCTGTATTGTATGGGATTCATAACTGAAATAATATTTTAAGTTTTTCTGGAACTGGTTTGAAATTGACGTGTTCTTATGAAGTGAAGTTCCTAACAACATTATCAAATTGTGTGTAAAAGCAGTGAGTCTAAGGAAATCTTAGCATTTGTTTATGAAATTCATTGTTTTTGATTTTGGTTTACATGCTGCCTTAGACTGACAGATCTTCATGCTTTATAATGTATTTCTGCCGCCTTCTTAGCGAACCTTTGTGGTGTAGTGTATATTACACTTCATATGTTACACTCAATGCATAATTGAGAGATCCACGGCGAAGGCATTGCATATTTTTCATCTTTTCTGCTCCCGAAATAAACCTAATGACTCTACAGTGGCACCCAAACTAAAAGGGTGTTGGATGATGATTCTCCTCACCCAGGATTTTGCGATTGGTCCCCTAAAAACCCTAATCGCCCTTTACAAGGAGGAGTATATAAGGTATTTCTCCTGCCTTCTTAACGAGCCTTCATGTTGTAGTGGTCTGCATGCTCAGCACGTAATTGAGAGGTCCGTGGTTCGATTCCCGGCGAAGGCATTGCATATTTTTCGTCTCTCCTGCTTCCGAAATAAACCTAAAGATTCTACAACATTGGTGACAAAAATCTGTAGAAATGTAGAACCATAGAAAGTGTACTAAAGACACTAGAATAAATTATAGGAACACTGGGTATGCAAAGTTTTCTCTCATTTGACTATAATAGTAAAGAGGAATAGGATTCAAATATGGATTTCTTATCTGCGTAAGAAAGATCTTAAACTTTAATTCATGTCCATTTATTCAGCACTTCTATCTAAACAAGAAGCTACTATTTTTGGCCAAAATTTTTGTGGATGATGATAAATGAGCAGTGTATGAAAATCTTAGTCTCACATATTCTGGTGATAACTTTATGAAACTGAAAACAACAGCATACCCTAAAAATTCATGGGAAAATTTTTAATATGCAATTATGAGAACAGCGAGATGTATTTTACTAAGGATGCATAAAATCTATAGAATCAGATTTCTGCGTACCCCATCAGGATAATACATATCCGCTCTTATCATGGAACACATAAAAAGCAACTTTGGTAGTAAATACTGTATTATGTGCTGCACAATGCATATAGATGTTTTAGCTTTCCCTCACCATTTGTTTAGATCATTACAGCAGTATTTAAATGGTAAACATTTAAAAAAAGTTCAAGTTCAAAGTATTATTGAACAATATTTTGAGACTTAACTACTGAAGTTTTTACTGAGATGATATTGTAGCGATCTCGAGAACACCTGAATGCTTGCAAATTTGAAAAGAGCTGGAATTCGTGAACCTAGCACAATGGAGCTCTTTTGGGCTAGCGGTAAAGAAATTGACTTTTAATAAACCCACCTAGATTCGCGTCCCACTTATGCGATGCAGCACTTCTCTACTGGTGTTAATACGAGGGCTATCCAGAAAGTAGATTACGTTTTGGAATAAAAAAATAAACAAAGTATAGGAAACAAATTTTATTATATACAGATGAAAGCCACACTCAAATACTACTTTTCTACATAGTCACCATACAAATTAAGGCATTTATCGTAGCGATGTACGGCTTGGAAATTCCTTCGTCGAAAAATTCGGCCGCCTGCGCCTTCAACCACTCGTTACACTCTTCTTGCCTTCCATCTTGCACAAACTTGTGGTAACCAGCTTTCGCTGATGATTTCGTGCAACAAATTCGCGAAATTGTGGAAAACTCAAAGAAAGTTTCGTTATTGTGAAATTTCGATTTCACGGACTTTAGCATCGACTTTTTCGAGAAGTTCGGCGGTCACCTATGCTGGGTCTCCCACTTCGATCTTCGTCGTGAACATTGGTTCGGCCATTTTGAAATCTATGACCCACTGCCGCACTCCCCTTCAGTGATAATGTTGTCCCCATACACTTCACGAAGCTGCCGATAGATTTCTATCGTTTACGTTTTTTCCAGTCAGAAACCTATTACTGAGCGCACCTCGCAGCTCGCGGGATTTTCAATAACGCAACATTTCAAACCGTCACAGTATCTGAACGGAGCACAGCAGAACCTCTCCCTAGCACGGCTAGATGCAGACTGAGCTGCGCAACGCTCTGACCCCAAGATGGCCGCGCTAGCCCCGCCCCTAGCGGACACAGACGGAAACGTAATCTACTTCCTGGATGGCCCTCGTAGATGGCGACACAAACAGAGCAACTACTGAGGCTTCACGAACCACGTGATTGCTACAATATGAATATTTGATTATCAAAATGGGAAAAGGGAGGAGAAGATAATTGTAGATTAATGCTTTCCATGTGACTTTACTTTAAATTTCCATTCTAACAATAGCATTGCTTTTAAAATGTCTTTATATGCTTTATTTTTCCCCCTCTTAAATAGCATTTAATTTTAATGTAATAACTGTGTGATATGCTTTCAGTGAGAACATTGCTAAAACAGTCACCAGTTCTGTGAATTGCACATCTATGCCTCCTGATTATTTAATCACAATTATTGAAGGCCTAACAACTTTATGCCATTACTGTTTACTTGAGTGTCCTGCTCCAATATTATCTCCTCTCAATCAGTCACCATTACCACCAGTTCCATCTCAACCATATGCACCTGGAACTAGTGCATCACAAATCATTTCAAACCTCATTCATGTTTTCTCTACATCTTCTAACCAAAAGGTAAACAAAATTTTTGCTGTTGTTAAATATGGTACCATTCTTAGAAACGTATTAAAAGAATGAAGACAATATATATTTTTTTACCTAAAGCCTTTCATTAGAATTTATTGTTTAAAAGTAATATTATTTTTCTTATGTGGTTTTTATTAAAGTTTAAATAGCTTTTTAACAAAATAATTAAAAATTTATGACGGTTATTTTTTAATACGTAAAATATATTAAAAATTGGACATACAGGGGTTGGACAAAAATATGGAAACAC